AAAAAAAAAAAAAATGTGTAGGCAGCTGCCTTTTTTCCCCTAAAGCGTGAAGAGCACAGGGCACCGGCTGCACTCAGGAAGATGCTGTAAACCCTACAAACACGCACCGCTCCTGCACCCTGCTACTCTAGACATCAGTACAGCTCTGCTAAGTCAGACCCTGTCCTCTCCGCACCCAAGCAGGGCAGCCCACAGAGCGCCGCGGGCGGCTTCCTTCCTTACCTGCCTGTACGGTACCCTGTAAGAAAAGATCCGCAGTACAAACAATGTGAAGCAGCAGCTGTTGGGGGGTTGTGGTCCTAAATATAGACAAGAAGAACCAGATGCAATGCCAAGAAATTGTGTGTGTGTGGGTGGGTGGGTGGGTGGGGGTCCTTCTTGTCTATATTTTGGGGGATGGCACTTTTCTTTTAGCTTCTGTCAGCACAGGGACATGCTGCTAGTGCTAGGTCTTGCCCCCAAACAGCAGAAGGCTTGCTGCTCTGCTCCAGGGCCTTGCAGCTGCCAAGCAACAGTTTCACAGATGTCAGGGGCTGGCCAGGACCTGGCAGATCATGGGGCGCTCGGGCAGGAAAGACCTCAAGACTCTGCTTCAAGATGGGCAGGGCGGGCGGGTGACTGCCCGTCGCAGGACGCGATTAAAAGGGGAACAGACATCAGTTCCCGTTGTCTCCCTCTCCTCCAACGCTTCCGTAGGCCCAGAGCTGCTCCGCGGCCGAGGCCGAGGCCAGGCCCGCGAGGAGACGGGCAGCCCGGGGCTCACCTGGAAGGTGTCGACGACGCGGTGCAGGAACTCGATGACGAAGAGCGGCGGCACCTCGCTCTGGATGACGGCCACGAAGAAGATGCGGTGGCGGTAGACGCTGAGCAGGTAGTGGTGGGGCGTGGGGATGACGGGCGGCACGTTCTCCGCCTCGGACGCGCGCTCCTGCGCCTCGAAGAAGTAGTCGCAGACGGAGCGGCTCACCGCGCTCTTCCAGTGCTTCTCCAGGAAGATGTCGCCCGCCGCGTTGATGAGGAACAGGCTGTGGATCATGGCTACGGCGCGGCCGCACTGC